TCCCGTCTCCCCTGACACCTCACCCCTCAGGGCAGAGATGCACCTTTTACACCAGTCCTCCAGCTCAGGTCTACAGTCACCTTGTCCTTGTGAGCAGATCTGAAAATCTCTTGTCACTTCCTAACTTTTCTCCTAGGTTAGATCCCCCTCTCCACCTCCCTCTCCTAAAAAAGGGAAATGTCCTCCCAGCCGCTTCAGAAGCCCCGGCCTGGGATATCAAAAGGAGATCAGTACAAATCAGTGTCTCGACTCTCCCAACTCTCTCATGAGTTCAGGTTTGTCACAAGCCAGACTGGGAGTCCAGAGAGTTTTAACAGTTCTGTGATCCCCTCACGTTAAATTAAGGTGAAATGACAACAAATGACTGGTTAAAATGTTTTACTCCTGGTAGAAACAAACTTGGAAGAGAATAATAAGCAATGTGATCTTTTATACATCTATAAGAAAGAAAAGAAAGGAAAGGACAAGAAAGGAGAAAAAGAGTCAAATGAATTGCCACCCAAGGATCTAGCATTGTCTCAGGTCCTGGAATCTTGGCTGGTGGGTGCATACACAACAGAGTTTTCTGTCACCTTTTAAGTTCATCTTACCAGCTGATAAGCATTTCTGTGTTGATGAATGTTTGAGGCATTAATTCCTTCAGTTCCTTACAAGGTTTTCTCCTTCAGCCCTTCCTGCTCCTTAAGCCCCCCAACCTCCACCACTCCCAGTGTCATTTATTGCCCTACCTGGGGACCACTGCCCCCTACATTTCCTAGCTCATTTCTTGCCGCATACCTGGTAGCAGACAAACTGTCAGGTGCCTCTTGACAACCACTGATCATCAGGCTATCAGTCCTTATAGGGCCAGAATTTGCAAGCAGACTGTGCCCTCTAGGCTAGCCCTGCTTGAGACAAGGGTCTTGCTGCTATCATTAAGACCTCTGTTACATTTCAGGAAATCATGAAAAAGCAGAGAGGCTGAAAAAGTTGACTTTATAAAGATAAACATTAAATAAAACAGCATCAGCCCTAAACAGAAGTAGCAGTGAGCTGGGAATGATGATAGTGGGGTGCAAGGGAGAAACGAGGTGCCTGAGTAGAAGAGGGTTTCAGCAGGGAGTGAGACACTCCCTACTCCTTGGGACAATCCCTTCCCTAAAATCTGCCATTTCCCAGTTTCCCAGGCACATCAAATGTAAAAGCTTAGCTCTTCCATCACATCATACTCTACACAAACAGCCTTTGTGTACCCTAGGAGGATTGTTGAAATCATTCTCTGCACTTAGAGCCATGGCAAATACACACAGGACCTCTGTTCTATGTTGCAAATAGGTTTAAGAGATTTGAAGCTGAGGAAGCCACACGTGTATATTGTATTTCACACTGCAGAAGGAGGATGCCTTGAGGACAGCATGCATGCTAATCTTCTACACATATCAAACAAATAATTTTTAGTAAGACAGGACACAATATCTAGCTAGTTTATAAAATTTTCCATATTGTTGGCCTGTAGAAAAGCAAGTGTTAAATAATCAAAATATAATGTCTGACAGATTTTTAGAAAACCTCTGCATCACAGTATTTAAATATATCATTATGTGCTTTTTAAAAACCTGATTGGAAAAATTACATCATTTTGGACATTCTCAACATTCAGTGCGTCAGCTCTCAGTGTCTAAGAGCCCTATAAATAGACGTTTGGACCACCTCAATACAATTCATGTATGCAGTTTTTTCCACAATCCACTTAACTATTATTCAAATAAAGTGCAACTGGATCTTTTCTTGGGAACAGGGATTATGCAATGCTCAGTACAGGAGGTTCAAGAAAAACAGCATAAAGCCAAACATGAGCTGCAAAAACCTGCAGAGCAGCAGAGTTTGTTTATATTTATTTATACACTGTGTTTCCATTTCTTTCTCACCTAACAGCCACTAGCTCCTTCTGCCTCTTTTAATCTACCAAACTCTATCATGTCTTAGTACACCAAGAGTGAGGCCAAGCAGTTAAACATCAATTGCCAAGTGATTAGTAATGAAAATATAATTGCAGGATGATCAAAACTTTAATATAACCAGATCCCTATGCTGCTAGGAACTACTGTTTCAAATTAAAATTATAAACCCCTACAGTACTGATGAGATTTTGCCAAAATCCACTGAATTCCGGAGTCTGTTAGAAAACCAAAGTATTTACAGTTTCAGGTCAGAGACTGCTAAATACTATGAGCACAGCTTTCTACACAAATAAAAATTTTAAATCTCATGTTTCTGAAAGGCAGCTGTTATTAATATGCTCCATTAACCTCCTTAAGAGCCTTCCAGTTACATGCAAATATAAAAATATACACAATTCAGCAATGAGAACTTTGAATGAAACCTTTGCAAATATGCTGTATAACACTACACACACATATACCTATATGTGTCTAAACCACACTTGAGGATGAGTTTCATTACCTGTGTCTGTCTTTTCCTTATACACTGAATATATCAATTATTTACCTAGTGTGAACCACTTGGGTAAAAAAGATCTATGAAAGATCTGAGTATATAATTTGATACTAGCGTCAAAGAAAGCTCCAGGATAAAATGCATTTAGAGGAATTCTTCATAAAAATGAACTTAGGGGTTTTGGTCAGTTCAACATGCAAAAGCTGTTTCTAAGGATCTCAATTTCATCTCACGTTTAAGGTTAATTCAGAACCTCAAGTAGCCCATCTGACTGCTCTGGGGAACTCCCAGCTCTGGAGACCCATAAGCTGTAAGCAAGTCTCATAAAAGGCTATTTTTAGCAGAACATGGTGCAGGTTATGGACTCGTGTTGTGGGGGTGAAGCCATCAAGGGAAGCAAAAAAAATGGGAGAACATGAAGAAGGTAGAAAATATCGGATCCTGTCAAATACCTACCAACGATTACAATGGGATATAATGCCGAAGTGTTGGCACCACAGGGGAGACATTTTAGGACCTGTCTTTCCTTTTCATTAGCTCAAGCTCTCTGGAATTAGGCACTGTGAAGTGCACAGGTGGAGGGAAAGGGCCTTCCCAGGAGAAAAGAGCAACTCCAACAGGGCACAGAGGCAGAGAACTGTGTTCGGGCTCAGTACAAGTCACCTGGGGGACTGCCAGTGGTTGCGGGGGTTGGAGGCAGCTGATGGCTCCTCTCCCACGTCTTCTGTAGTGGGGAGATACCGCAAGGAAAACAAGTCCAGAAGAAAAAACATCCATTTAAAATGGTAAACAAATAGCAGCGAAGACTCTAACAGTAAACTAATCACTTGCTTTCTGCCTGCCTTTCCACTGAATCATGACTCAGAAAACACTCTTTAGCCTACCCCAGTTCTTCAGCTTTCACCACAGGACTTTCTGCCACCAGCACCAGCAATCTCAATAATTCCCCATAGCCCCAAGTGCTTAACCCGGGCACTGCCAACCATTAGCATTTTAATGAAAAAGTTCCTAAAAGCAAGAATCTGTTTAGCATCACCATTTCCATTCTTTTTCCATTCTGTTTCTACCAGACTGGTGAGACATTTCACTTCAAGTGTGATTCAGAATGCCAAGTTCAGAAAAAAAATATCTCCACAGTTACACACCTCTTTCTTGCAACAAAGTTCTGGTTCTCCAGGGCTCTGCTTTCAAATTTAAAGGGCTGAAAGACAGTAAAAATGCCTTACCTCAATCATTGTGATATATTTGTTTTCAGTTTTTAGCCAACAGTTAAAAACATACAACATTTTCCTCTATGCAAGGATAACTGAAAGAGACCAAAGGAAACAATCTAAAAATCCAATTTACAACGTAAAAGAAAACTTTGTGTTGAGATACATCTGGTCCATAATACCAAACAGGAGGATTCAGCCTGAATTTATGTCAAAATGAGAGACATTCCAAAGAGAATGTATTTGAAAATAGAAGATATATGGCTCATTGTACTGGGCCTGGCTGAGCTGGAATTGGTTTTCCCCTACAGCAGCCCTCACGGTGCTGTGTTTTATGCTGGGAGCTGGCAGGGTGTTGGTAGCACCCTGATGTTATGGCTACTGCTGAGCAGTGCTTACACAGCACCAAGGCTCTTTCTGATATTTCCCCCAGTGGGACGGGGTGGGCAAGATCTTGGGAGGGGACACAGCCAGGACAGCTGACCTGAACCGACCAAAGGGATATCCCATACCACATGACGTCTGCTCAGTATAAAGCTGGGAGAAAGGAGGAAGGGGGTGGGGTCACCCTTGGTCCTCTGAAGCAACCACTACGTGTATTGGAGCCCTGATCCTGAGAAGGCCTGACATTGCCTGTCCATGGGAAGTAGAGACTAAATCTGTTTGCTGTTGCTTCCGCGCGTGGACTTTTGCTTCGCTTTGCTTATATTAAAACTGCTTTTGTTTCACCCACAAGGGTTAGTTTATCTTCTTTCCCCTCTTTACCCTATTGAGAAAACAAGGGGAAAGGGGGGGGGGAGTGATAGAGCGACTTGGTGGATACCTGGCATTTAGCCAGAGTCAAACCATCACACTCATATAAATATGCAAAAGTAGAATCTGCTAATACAATCTCTCAGCATACAACGTAATGCTCATAAATTATTGCAAGTTTAACACATTTGCAACATACAGGAACTAAGAGCAAGATATTAAAAATTTATTACATTATGTACATTCTTTCATTTAACACAAGTATGCCAATGTTGTGTAAGAAATCCCCACCCTTCTTTAGAAGACATGAAGACATTAAACAAGAATAATTTACAGAACACAAGTCCAAATACCTTCTACAGACAGCACACATTCAGAACATAAGCATATCCAAGGTATCGAACTTTTCTCCAACTAGACTCAACACTCATTATGTACCCCCCTGCCCAGTGCCCCTTATTATAATGAAAAAAAGAACTGCACATCTGCTCTGCTAAATAAGATCAGAGGAGTCAGTTTGACTGGATTAATCTATCCATACAGACAATAGTATTAGTTAGAAATGCACAGCTGGAGTTACAGGAAAGCCCACAAGTGATTTTTGTTATTTAACTCCTGGTTCTAGAAATGAGAAATTGTATCTACCTTGTGACTGTCTCACATTTTGATTTCTGCTGTTACACTAAAGTCATAATCACATCTAAACATTTACTTTATAAATGATAAAGAAATGTAGGCTGCACCTGGACTTCTTCCACCAATTCATGGACCTATAAATAAAGCCTGCAAGTCCTATAAAAACATAAATTCACTTGACACTTGTGACTTCAATAGCTGATTCCTTTTGGGACCTGTGATAATTTCAGCATCTGTTTGAAGGACTAGTAGCACCAAGTCTAGAGCTCTCCGCCACGCCTCTGTCTTAGCTGTAACATTATCATAAACGTTTAAACCCACCCCATGGTCAGCAAAGGGACCAGAGCCACCCCTGAGCAGATCACCTCTTCTAAACTCTTTCCATATATATGCCGAGGGAGAGCCACAGTCAGCTGCTTTTTTGAGGTGATGATCAACTAAGGTACATGCTTCCAACTCCGATGCAGCTTTCGCAGTGTTACACATAACCACTGAAAGATACTGCTTCCAGCCGCTTGCTAATGCTGGCAGCACAACTGATTTATACTCTGTCGCAGATGCTGCCAGCCAAGGAATGTGAAACGCTTTCATGGCATTTTTATTTGCTGGCTCTAAAGGCTGTTCTGCAAGCGTCTGAATGTGACTAAGGCACAAGAGCTCCACTGCACCACCACCAAGAAAAACCTTCTTGTCATTTAAAGCGTGATGGAGTCGATATGCTAAAGTCCAGAACTGGTCTTCAATGAGCTGCATCTTTGATGCTACAGTGGTGGTAAGCACGGCCGTGAGCAGCGGAATTCCTCGCGCCTTTATCCTGACTGGCACAAGCTCACCCAAATCCATTGCACGCCCGTCGCAGACCTTCCACAGCTCCACTTGGGCCCCACTCCCCACGCAACCAGCGTTCACCTGGGTGAGGTATGTCACTGGCTGGGCACTGGTGACCTCCCCAAAGGCACACAACACATCCCGAGACACAGAACCAATTACCAAGACACTGTTTGCTATGCATCTTTCCATTAAGTTTTCACACACATTCCCTTTGACCAAAACCAAGTTTACTTCAAAGCTTATCAGAATATCTAACATACTGCTTAGCCACAAGTCTCCTTCTCTGCCTTCCTGTAGTCTAGGATGCTCCAATATGGTCCTTACGTTACATGGTCTATTAAAACCTAAGTGACGATATTGTTCACTTAAGTCACCATCCATTAGCAGAATCCGAAGGGGTTTGTCTTCAATGTATTTGATAACTGTGGCTTGTTCTGGTGATACTAATGTGACAAATCCTGGGGAGACATGAGAATAGCTTTCAGGCAGGCCCAGTAAACAGCACGTCACAATTTCTGCAATATTAAACTGGGAAGAGCCACTGTATTCTGCTCTCTCTTGTTGATACTTGACGATGCTTTGTAGCAGTTTTGTGCTAGCCTGATTTCCGTGGCTCAGAGCCATGGCCAGGTGTCCTAAACCGTAACATTCACATGGATCTGCTGACGGTCCTGAAAGGTATCCCTGAAAGCTACTTTGATGATTTGAAAAATTGCATGTTCCTAGAGTGCTGAAGTATCTGCTATGGGTTAACTTTTGTTTGTTACAGCTGGATGCGAAAACATCACTTCCAGAAATCACAGATGTACTTCTGTCACCCGCCGGTTTGACAAGAGAAGCTATTGAACCAAAGCTGGCCAAAGGTGAAACCAAGTCCTCGTTAAAATTACAATCATTTTCTTGACGGGAACAAGAATTTATTGGAATTACTTCTTCTGGTGCAGAAATATCTTTCTGAGGATACAGGGAAATCTGAGGATTTAGGAGACTGTCACATCCAATTTGGTGAGTTTTGTTTTTAAAAGCATTTGGCTTAACACTGCTAGAACACAGCTCTTTATTTACATCATGTATTGCTATTTGAAGACACTGGACTCTCTCACAGCAAGAGTTCAACCCCTCGGTCATCACAGATACTATTGCTGAAACAGGAACATTCTGCTGGAGGCACTCCACTATAGCATTGCTCCACGCACCAGCGAGAAACAACAGGGTACTCATCCCAGTCTTAAACTCCTTGTTTTGTGCCTGAATGGTTTCATTAAGAAGCTGTCCAGCAGCAGTAGTTAAATCCAAACTTTCAATCAGTCTAACAGCAGAACAAATCAACGTGCTTTGGTTGGTGCTTTCATCCACAATGAATTTACATGATTTCATTGGCCCCAATAATGTTCTTCCAGCTACTGCCAAGGATGAGAGTTGCTGAAGTCCAATATGTCTTCTTGCATTCACGTCCCTGAAAGCCATGGGCAGCAGGCAGCCTATGTGAAAAGAACGCAAACTTATTGCCTCACCCTCACAGCACTTCAGAGCACATATCACCAAAATATTAAATTAACAGTCTAATGCTGAACACAGCTGTCCTGTGAGGCTCTCTGTATAAAACGGTTCTTCACCCTGTGAACTTATTACGAGACACTGATGCACACAGTTGATGAAATGGTACATTGCTAAAATACCATGGAATTTTTTCTTGCTGGCAAAGTGCTGTTAATTCCAGTGGTTTCTTAAACATGAAGCAGTACAGATTGTATAAAACTTCCATTTCTCTCCTGACCTGCTATCTGGAATTTCAGTTATTTGCCTTACTTAGGGCAAAAGTTCCTTAGAGCAGAATGGACATTTATGTGCAAACCAAAAGCACTCTGTACAGATCCATCTTGGTACCAATAGCTATGCTGCTGATTTTAACCTTCAAATCTCAGAAAACATAAATCAAACTTATTTTATTCTGATCCTATTTATTCCATTTAGCATGCATCAATACCTCAATAAATGTGCATGAAAAGGAATGCCACTTCTTTGTGCCTCACAAAGCAAACTGCCAAGACTTCAAGGTTTTGATCTACTACTCAGTTTTAACATGTCAAAAATAAATCTTCTTTCCCTTGAAATCCCTTCCACACCACAGTCCTGTGGCAGGCCACATGGATTAAACTAAAACTTCCTTTTTTTGTTCTTTTTTGAATGAAAAAGTATACACATGAAGAATTAAGAAGCCTTAGCCATATACCTTTTAAGCTGAGATTCAAATAATTGATTTAATCTCCCTAAAAGGTCCCTTTGCATGGCTATTCCAAATCCAGAAAACTCTTTTTCCATCCCATTTGAATATTGTCTCAGAAGACGGTGAAGTGTGAATTAAAAAGCAGAGCAGGCTGTCAGAAATAACCTTTATATGCTGACAGACCTGAAGCTCTAGTCCAGCCCAAACTGAAAAAGAATTCCCCTTCAATTACTAGATATGTCTTGAAGTACCAAAAAAAAAATCATTAACCAAGAAATTATTTTAGTCTATAGTTATCCATAATCAACAATTTAAGAAAAGGACTTTTAGATAGGCAGGTACTTTTGACTTTAAAACTGCACTGGGAATGCTCACCTGAAAACCTCCATCCAACTTGCTTAAGGGTTTTTCTGGAAATTTTTCCTGACAATGTCTTGCGATAGCCTAGGCACGCTATATACCTATCCCAGTACTTTCAGTAATAATAATAAAATTAAAGAAAGGCTCTTTTTTCTTAACTGGAATCCTTAATATCACAGCTAGCTTGTTTTGAAACCAACAAAAAAAAATTGAGTGATTAAATAATAATCATTGGATCATGGAATCCAATATGAAACATGTTTCCCCCAGTTCCCCAGAAACACATCATTCCATCTGATTTCTCTTAAGGACTTATTAGACAGTCATTTGGGGTTTGGTTTTTTTTGGTTGGCTGGGGGTGGGGGTGTGTGTGGATATTTGAGTTTTGTTTTGTGTTTTTTTCCTTCGAGATCACCATTTCTAAATTCAAGCTGTTCTCAGCTAGTAACGGTCACTTCTCAACCTGCTCTTGTTTTGATAGAAAGAACAAATAAATAACAAATCTGTGGTTTGCTTCATAAAATTTCAGGAAGAGCTAAATCAGCTCTGCTGAAAGGCCGAGTAATACCCTCTCACTGTCTAGGTCCTTGGCCCATAGCTCTGGGCAGAAGACAGTGCTGCTGTTTGGATGGCAGACAACTAGGGGAGGACTGGTGGGAAAGGGGTTTCCATTTTCCAGTACAGTGACCTTCTAACTCCCCAGTCAGTCCCAAATGAGGGTTCAGCTCAGAAGTATGAGTCACTGTCTTATCAGAACAGCATTAATTCAATGAATATGAAAGTAAGACTATTATGAGACATTAAATAAGGGCAGCACCTTGTCCATGTGCTTCCAGCAAACCTCAATGCAGCCAACTAAGTCGCTTAGCTAAAATTTTCTCTGAAATGTAGGTTCTAAGATGTGCCCCTTTACTTTCAGCCTAAACTCATCCTTTGAAACAGTAACTTCATTTTGGACACCAGCCTGTACTGCAGATCCATAAACCTGAACCAAACATTGACCCAGGGCTTGGCTCCAAAGCCAGATGAAGGCAGAGTATGCACTTACAGGAAAGGGGTTTTGTTTCACTGCTTGCACAACCTCTAGCATGTGTGATTTATGATTTTGTGATACATCCCCTCCCCTTTTGTCTTATGCATGTTATTTTGGCAAGAACATCACACTCCCCTATGCCGTAGAAACCAATATACTGCAGACCCAAAATTCAATTTTTTATCTCCATCTCCTGACCTCTTACCTTTTTCCACCCAGTCTAAGGTGGAAAAGGTAAAGGGCCGAGTGGAATTACATTTTGGAGTCAAAAACAAGTGACATCAGCAAAGAGATGAGGCATTCTAAAGAATAAATGAACTGGCAATGAAGGACAGCCATCTGTGAGACACCAACTACTACTGATGGCTTCTCCTGAGCTAACTTGCATGCCCACCTACTGCTGCCTGCCTCCTTGCCTGACTCTGTAAGGAAAATAAAACGACCTTAGGTTCAGTTTATGTTTACACACAGAGGTTTTAGGGGTCTCAAGTGAAGAACTCTGGGATACAAGAGGTACACTAAACACTTAGTACTCACTTTGTCTTACAGCACCTCGACCATGAAAGCTAAACTAATACAATAAAATTTTAGATCAGTTTTCCAAACTCATGTATCTCTGTGAAACACTGTCCAAAAAAAAGTCTCACATGCAGCACACATTCTCTTGCACCAGTACTAGTGCACAACTAAAGAGAAAGGGGCAGAAAATGCTCTGCTTGCAGCTAAACCACCAGGAGTTCAGGTAACTCGTGACTTACCTGGTCTACCTAAGCGCCAGCACTTTTATTACTAATGTAGGAAGGGAGAGAGCTTCCTAGACTTGTGCAGCCGAACCCAAACGCCCGTGGCCAAGCACCCCTGTGCCACTCGCGGCCTGGAAGCGGAGAGCAGCCAGCACGCAAGCGGGGAGGCGGGGGGCACCCCAGCACGAGCCGAGACCGCCCAACAGGCGCCCGGAGCCGCCCTGCTCAGGCCT